CTTAATTTCAGCAACTGACTGGATGGCTTCTCCTATGATACTTGTGTTCTGTACTCCTGATGTGAAAATGCCTTCCAGAACAAATAGAACAGTATTACCAAGGTCACCAGAGACAAATGAACTGCCTCCTCCCAGCCATACAGCAACACCACTGTTTCCAGATTTTGAAACAAGATGGCTAAAAATGGAAGCTAAGGTAGTACACAGCAATCGTGTATGTTTTCACACACTTTTTACCATAAGCCGTTTTCTAAATGTCAGTTTCCGATTCTTTTCCAATACTACTTATGTCATTGTAGATCTTTCTAATGGTAACTTTGTACAAACGTTTATTAAATACTTTACCTAGGATAAGTAAATTAACTGAAGGCAGTTAATACCTCTTTTGCAACAGGTAAAGCAGGGGGAAAAGATTGAGTCGGTGACAAAGAATGATGCAACAGATAAACAATACGTTGAAGACAGCATTCCTTTTGCTGTGAGCTCTGATGAGTATCTTAAACATTTTGGAGACCCTTCTCCTCCCAAGATAAAACACTATGACCAGTTACTCGATACTCCTCCACCCCCAGAAATAACAAGGATACCAGATGATGTTCTACAGGTTAGCTATATACGCTTTTTTTTCCTAAATAGTTTTAATATCAAAATAGTAAAATTAAAAGGTCTTAGTTCTACCAAATATTGCTCTTCAAAAAGAAAGAGTTCTCTGCTACTTATTAAAAATATATAAAGTGTAATCCTGGTTTAAGTTCTTAGATAATTATTTTTATCTTTTAATGTTTCCTCTAGTTTTTGTCCAAGTATAATCATAAAGTAGACTCTTCTAAAGCCAAGGAAATGGAGACCAAGGCAGGAAATACTACAAGATACGAAAGTGATTTCACTGATTATTGCAACAAAGAGAACAGGTATGATTAAATTTTACATATTTGGTTACATAATTTATCTTGGAGAAGCTATGAAGATGCTTTAACGCATTTAGAAATTCATGCAGCTGCTTGCTCTTCAGCTGCCAAAACAGCTCTTGTTGCTGTGAGTAAATAACTATTCTTTGGCATGGTATGTGACTGCCTTTACTGTAAAGAACAAATATTATAATTGATTGTGTGTCTGAGTCCTCCCAACTTAAAAAAAAAGGTAGTGTTTTACTGTTTTATCTGTAGGTGTTTTGCTTTGTGGCAATCAAAGCACCAGTGAATGCTTTCTTCTGAGTAAATTTGGGCAATAAGACTAAGGAATTGGAGAAAACTATGTAAGTGACATGACCGATTTCACAGTCATTTTGGCAATGACAAAGTTCTTTGAAATGCAAAGCCACCTTATGAACAATATGGGATACATATGAACAATGTAATAATAGCTTTAAAAAGAACTTGATCAATTTGAATAGAAAGAAGTTTTTGCGACTACTTGATCAAGTGTAGATACTCCTTCTTCAATGTAATGTATATTACACTTGTTGATTATCTGTTAAACTTGGGGTCAGTACAGATTATTTAGGTAAGTGGTACAAGGAGCGTGTATGGAGTCAAATAATAATCGCAAAAACCCAGGATGAGACTGATAAAAGTAGGTATCTTAATATAATTGGAGTTGGAATTTATTTGAGTAATCAAATAGAGCAAAGCTCTTACTTTAGCTGATGCTTTTTTCTTGTCAAGATAATTTTTTAAAGTTCTAAATATTTGTGTCTTCTGCTAATTCAAAATATGATTGAGATAATAAGTTCATGAACTCTTCTGGATATATCTGCAGAGGTTATCCTGGATTTTTCAAGCCAAACATCTGAAATCAAGCTGAAGACCATGTTGAGACTGTTTCATATTCATGAATGTTATCACTGAATCATAACGAGCTCAAAAAGCAAAAGAAAATACTGGTGGGAGGAAGAAGCCATACAAAGGAAAACCCTTCTTAGTGGAGAAGTGGAGAGTTTGATGTGGATAAACTAGCTTGAACTAGCAACTTGTGCTTAATTTTTTTCTTGAAATTATTGGCAAAATATATTGAGGGGTTTTAAATATATATGCTTCAAAGAGGACTGAGGTCATGTATTAGGTAGTACTGCAGTTGTTTCACCTGATTCTCATGTTTGTTGTGTATGCTTGCGTTTGCAGTAGGCTGTAGAGAAGTGTAGTTGCAATAAAGGGAAAGCCCCAGAAAGTGGCTACCTCTGGCTGTTCTGGTGACACTGTACATCTTTTCAGGGCTGAGTTCAAAATCTAGTATTTTAACAGTATTTGCCACCTTCAACAGAAACAAGTCTTTTTTTTATGTGAAGAGTAACTCCTGCCTTACTATTTATTTAAAGCACTTCTGTGCTATTAGTCATTTCTGCAATACTGAGACACATCACACACATTCCTAGATCAGGCTCTCTGTTAGCTATCTGATGGACAGATATTTCATATACTGCTTCTTCTTTCTTATTATAGTATTCTTACATCTGTATTAGGTGCTATACATCTGTTTTCCTTTTGACAGTCTAATTTATGTAGCTCTAAGAGGTGATTGGCTCAAATATAGATTTTTCAAATAATTCATTGTGCAGTTGGTATTGATTTTATTTTTTTATATATATATATATATACACACACCCACACCCCCTACCTTCAGCTGCTGGAAAGATTTGCTGGAGGCATGTAGGTGATTGCTTACTCTCCTGTGCTGCTGCCATGTGCATTCTGTAAGCGGTGGTGTCACTTCTCAACATGCACATCTATCCCTGTAGTAAGTGACCAAGCTTAAGTTCTCAGAGTAGCTGGGCATCTTTTGGTATCTGGTAGGCATAGTAACTAGGATTTTTTTCCACCAGGGATTTTAATTTTGTCCATAAGAAATCCCAGCTACATATCCTTGTTTGGACCCAGTTTGCTGTTTCCAGCATCAGCTATTCTGAGCAGCTCCAGGACTCTGCTTACCTGCTGTACCTGGTCTTCCTGTTGATGGTTACAATTCTGTTGTGTCTATGAGGGCAGGCATGCAAAATGTGAGAAGGGAGAAACTGTCCCAGGAGAGGGGGAGAAGTGTATGCTTTTCTGAACTCTCTGAACACACCTCCATGGGGTTTTTTTTAAGTCCTCAGGATTCACAAACAGCTGGAAATGCCTGGAAATATTTCTCCAGTTGCTTAGACTTGTCCTGGCTAAAACCTAGCAAGTAGACCTTCTCCTGCTATTCCAGTCATTCTCCAGGATGAGTGTACATCAAATTAACCAGAGGAGCTGATTTTGTACTGGTTCTGGCCAGAGCACACTGTCATTTTTCTGTGCTAGCTTCTGTTTAAAATAAGTATGTGTGTTTATGTGTCGGTCTTCGGGTTTGATCAATGCTTTTGAATACTAAATAAATCTGGTTGCTGCTTGGAAAACTAATCATACGCTGTTGTAAAAACACTTACTTGTTCTACCCAACTCCTGGGCCAGACCTGCTTCCAGCATCTTCACAGACTAACGCCATTTAATGGGCTGGATGCTAGTCATGGAATTTTATGGTCTTCACAAGGTACAAAGTATTCTGCTCCAGTGCAAGAATCTTTCAGCCAGGCAGATTTACTAGCACTAAGCAGGAGGGGTTTCACAGTCTGCATTCTCCCTCCATGGCTATGTTCTTGCCCTGGAGCAAGCCAGGTATGCTGAAAGGATATGGACATGGTTTAGTGGGCATGGTGATGTTGGGTTGATGGTTGGACTTGATGATCTTAAAGGTCTTTTCCAACCTTAATGATTCTGTGATTCTGTGAAAGACTCCATTTAATGTGAAATGGCACAAACAGCACTACTGGCCTGGACCTTGCTGTATTCCCTGCCCCACTGCACCCAACTAATGAAGTTCCCAAAAGGGCTTATAAATGTCTTTTCCCTAAACTAAGGCAGTGGAGTGCAGAGTAGCTCTTTTCCTCCATTAGGGAACTGTAGAGCTGTACCTAGCAGTGCTAGGGTTCTCACTGTGAGCCACTTCCATCATTTTTCTTGCCTATTAAATGTCTTCTGCTACATTTCATAGCTATTTCATTAACTAATTTGAAAGGGATTCAATTAATATTTTGAGCTACAAATTATCTTCAAGATGAAAATTGAAATCTTAAAATCTTCTGGTCTACTCAAGCTATTATGACATGATGATCTTAAGGGTCTTCCAACCTAAACGATTCTATGATGCTGGCATATTGCTGATTGTATATATGTTCTTTATAGCAGGCCCGTTGCTCTGAGGTGGATATAAAAGCAGCAAAACAAAAACTAGTTGTAGTTTCTCGTGTTTCACCCTTGAAAACCTTTTAGGTTTCAGTAAGGCCTAAGCAGTATTTTGAGTGTTGGGGGTGGGAGAGGGAAAAGTTGGCAGAAGAGAAAACATAAGCAGTGTTGGAAATGGATCTATGTTCAAAATACGCTAGGGAGGGGAGTGGTGGAAAGTTGGTTGGGTTGGGTTTAGTTGTTTGTTTGTTTTTTTTCTCAGATCAGTTCTCACAGCAGTGGCTGCATTGCCATCTGATAAGCCACACAAGTTCAAATACTGGAACAACCAAGGATGTAGCTGCAGGGCTGGAGGAGGGTAAAACTCCACTTCAGCCAGTATTGCTGCTGAAGAAAGGCTCGTCCCACTGCACAGTAAAGAAATCTAACATGTTGAGTGGGAATAATGTAAAAGAACTTAAAAGTTACGTGTTAGTTCATTGTGGGGTGAATCTGATAACAGCATTGGTCTGTCAGACAGTGCAGTTTGGATAAACAGTCGCTAAGTAAGTAGCAAACACAGTAGTTCTGTAAGGGGCAGTTGTCACCTGAAAATAGGCAAAACCGAATCAGAGTAGGGTTCTGTGTTGTGCTTAATAGTTTAACTGGGGGCTGCTTCCACTAGAGGCTGTTTCACCAAACTCTCTTGCACAGAATCTAGGGGTTGTGCAGTTTTATAATGGATTTCTTCCATTTGCTAAGCCTCTAAAAGGCTAATTTTATTTTATTTTATTTTATTGTTTGTCCTCCCCAACAGTAATCTTAAACTCCGCTTCTGTCCATGCGAGTGCTAAATCAGATAGGTGTAAGGGAAGCGAGAGAGCAGGATCATAGCTTCTAGCAGTATGCTGCAGTTAGAAAAGATTGAACCCAGCACAAAATTGTACTTCAGTGGCTAGGGACATCTGGGAAGCAACCAAAAAAGCATAGCCTCTAGTTTTCCTTCATTTGCTGTGGCTCTTAATATTTTTTTTTTTTTAAGTATATCAAACATGACAGCTAACAAAAGCTTCTTTGCGTAATCCTGTTTGTTGTCAAACAAGCATCTTGATTGTTCTGCCTAGGAAGTCCCTTAAGGTGGTCGGCGGGCGCTTTCTTATCTTGTAAATATTTTGCTGGAGGTTAAATACAAATAGAGATCTTGCAGTGAAATAAAACTGCCCAGATGGCTGTCAAATGGGTAAATGACAAACACTGCTTTTAGTGCCTCCTGTTATGCTTTTATTGATGTGTTTATAAATCACTGGAGCAATAACTGGATTCTAGGCTTCCTTGGTTATTTAAAGCATCATGGGTGCTTTAAATTTTCTGTAACGTGATATTTGCTTTGTTCCTTGTTGTCATTACTCAGATGTTCCAGTACTCATGGTGGTTGCATGTGCTTGTCAACAGCTGTGGCTGATGTTGGAGCTGCCTTGTATTTTAAGAGTGCCTTGTTTCCCCATGGGACAGTAATAGAGATTGTCACATTTATAAGGAGCGATGACAACATCCAGTGGCCACACTATGGAATCACATGCACGTTAGTTCACAGGAATACAACTTCCTACCAGGGAGACATCAGTTAATACTGATACATTATCTGTCAACTTAAACATGCTGTTCTTGCGGTAATAGCCACTTTTACAAAGGGGCAGGTGACATCATGGTAAGGAGCTGACCAGGTCCATGAATCTCTTTGGT